GTGAGTTAGGCCAGAGTTATATATTTTTCTCCCAAAAAAGGAGATGAAGGAATTCTAGAATACCAAAACGTAACAAGCGATACATAGTGGTGATCAGCCAGCTTGTTTCAGATTCACCATAAATAATTAAATCGATAAAACAATAAGTAAGCAATGTACTTCCAAATGACTTCTTGTATGTTGCCATCTTCACTGATTCACAATAGAAATCAAAGCAAAGAACCTGCTCTTATCTGTTAATCCTAACAGCTGGTAATGGATGTCACTCATAGTACAGATGCTTCCAATCCTTTAAATGGATGCTGTCTCAGCTTCACTGCCTATGGCAATTCCGTGGTGTCCTTCCTGTATTCTACATCATACAAGCGGGACCTTGGACAGATTTCTCCTACAGCTTTTTATTTTCAGTTAAAGGAGAGCTGTCACTAGCCAGCATTTTAATATCATGTTTACATTTTCCTAAATTTAACAAACATGCATTTGAGGTGGGAAAAATAAAAGCAGAAACCCAATATCTTTATCCTGCAACCACACACCCCAACCTTACAAAGTTACATAGTTACATAGCTGAAAAGAGACTTGCGTCTATCAAGTTCAGCCTTCCTCAAATTAGTTTTTTGCTGTTGATCCAAAAGAAGGCAAAAAAACAGTCTGTAGCGCTTCCAATTTTGCAACAAACTAGTAAAAAAATTCCTTCTTGACCCCAGAATGGCAGTCAGATTTATCCTTGGAGCAAGCAGCTATTACCCTACATTGAAAAATGATATCCTTGAATATTCTGTTTTTGCAAGTATGCATCTAGTAGCTGTTTGAACATCTGTATGGACTCTGATAAAACCACTTCTTCAGGCAGAGAATTGCACATCCTTATTGTTCTTACTGTAAAAAAAAAAAAACAACGTTTCTTTGCCTTAGACGAAATCTTCTTTCTTCCAGTCTAAACGCATGACGTTGTGTCCTATGTAAAGTCCGGTTTGTGAATAAATTTCCACAAAATGGTTTGTATTGGCTCCGAATATATTTGTATAATGTTATCATATCCCCTCTCAGGCGATGTTTTTCTAAACTAAAGAGGTTTAAATTTGTTAACCTTTCTTCATAGCTGATATGTTCCATTCCTTTTATTAATTTTGTAGCCCGTCTCTGCACTTTTTCTAGTGCCATAATATCCTTCTTTAGAACAGGTGCCTAAAAGTGCACAGCATATTCAAGGTGTGGTCTTACCAGCGATCTATAAAGAGGCAAAATTATATTCTCGTCCCAAGAATGAATGCCCTTTTTCATGCATGACAATATCTTACTGGCCTTAGCCACTGCTGATTGACATTGCACATTGTTGCATAGTTTGTTGTCTATAACAATTCCCAAGTCCTTTTCGTGTGATGTGCTCCGAGAAGAGATACACCGGTGGCAGGGGGTAGAGAAGTCTATTGTGTCACTTGCTCCACCCAAATTGGCGGACAAGCGCACCAGAATTACTGACAGGTCAGCCATGAATGTACTCCAGGCTGCCTGCCAATCAAATGGGCCAGCCCACACAGAGCAGCACATACAGGAAACACTGATTCAGGCTCTCTGCAGGCTCCTAATATACAGTGCAGTGCACTATACTTACTCACTATACTGTGAAGGGTCAGTTCCCTGGTGCCCCCAAAAGCCGGATACCATGGAACGAAGTCAGGACATTGGAACAGGACCTAAAAAATCAGAACTGTCTCACTAAAATTGGGATGGTTGGAAGGCATGTGCAATTGGGTGGGTGCCTCCATCTTAGCTCCCTGTCAGTCATTATAAACCCTGTCCTTTGCACAGTGCGGTCAGCATTGAGAAAGCATTGACAGGAGGAAAAATCATACAATGTATGTTTGTATTCCTACTCTTTATTTGCAATGTGCACCATGACTGTAACTGGGTTGTAAGGTAATTTGCAAAATGTTTAATAAACATTTAAAAATAAAGGAAGCATTTCAGAAAAAGATTAACACAAGCTTGTTTAAACATTTTATTAAATTGTGTAATTTTTGGAGAGGTGACAGTTCCCAGTTAAAGATTTATTTCTGTATATTAAAATTTTAATATATAATAATGTTTTCCAGGTGCCCAGACTGACCCTTTCAGTTACGTAATTCAGTAGAAATAATTCAGTTTCTGTTTTGGTTGGGATGGGGAGACATACATCATTTTAGCCTTTTACTTGTCTATTGCTCTTAGAACATATAAAACCTTAATACACGCCAGTGATTTAACTTGCAGGAAAAGCCGCTAAAAATTTCTGCTCTTCCATCCTTGAATAGCCTTTTTTGTGGGGAGGAGAGAACTTTCGGATATTTTCCTTATATGAAAGAAAATCCAACCAGGCTACATGGAATCTTTATCAGCAGTTTACAAAAACACGCCTGATCATTCTGAAAAAGTCAGTCTTTTTATTGCAGACACTAAGCAAACAATTATCTCCCTTGTTCTGGCATGTACTTGCTCATATTTCTATAATCTACATAAAGGTCTCAGACAACTGGGCAACACAATTACGCTGATAACTACTCTGGACTTTAAATTGTGACGTTACAAAGTCCAGGTTTTCAAAGCAATAAATGAATTCACTTAGTTCAACACAAAGCTACTATCTCACACAGACAGACAAACAGCAACATTTTGTAAAGAAGTACAATACAGTGTTTAAGCTATATTGTTTACTAAATAATTATACAGCTATAGATTGCCAGCGGTGGTGGTGACGAAACATGTGCCTTCGATTTCAAACTAATCGCAATTTGTGAGAATTTTGGGTGTTAGACAAGTTGTTGGAATTCCGTAAATATGAAGTGTTCTATGAATATATCAAGAAATAAACCACACGAACAATCAAAAGACAAATTTGTTTGTTTTGTGATTCAGTTCCATCTTTGACACCAAAATAGACATGATTGATGGTTAGGGGACAGCCACTAAATGTCGATTGGAAAGAGTTGGGGAAAAAGGAGGATCAATAAATTAAAAAATATATATTTATATATTATATATTTAATGTAAATTAGATTAGCCATATTCGTTTTTGGCATTTTATATATTTAATAAATATATAATATATAAATAAAAAATTAAAAAAGATTAAAAATAAGAAAAGGGCATTTAAAGCATTTAAATCAGACAAATCAGAGGCATTCTATTTAAGATATAAGGAAGCCAATAACGCTTGCAAAAAGGCAATTAAAGTGGCTAAACTAGAAAATGAGAAATTGATAGCTAAAGAATGCAAACCTAACCCCAAATTTTTTTTCAAGTACATCAATTCTAAAAAAAAACAAAAAATGAAAGTGTAGGTACACTGGAAACAGAGTTGGGTTTATTAGCTAATGAAGACCAGGAAAAAGCAGAAATTTTAAATAACTATTTTTCTTCAGTATATATTAATGAAGATCCTAGGGCAAGAGATAAGCAAATGATTGCTGCAGAAAAAAGGGAAAAAAACTTGAGATTGGATAACTAGATACAAGGTGCTACAGCTATTAAAGAAAATTAATGTATTCACCTACGAGTACTTAAGGAGCTAAGTGGGGAAATAAGTGAACCTCTGTATTTAATTTTTCAAGATTCTTTTGTTTCAGGTGTTGTACCGGAGGATTGGAGGAAGGCAGATGTTGTTCCTATATTTAAAAAAGGGTTCAAAATCTTTGCCTGGAAATTATAGACCTGTGAGCTTAACTTCTGTAACTGGGAAAATATTTGAAGGGCTATTAAGGGATAATATTCAGGAATTCAGTGGGAAGAACTTTGTTTTTAGCAATAATCAGCATGGTTTTATGAAACATAGGTCATGTCAAACTAACCTAATTGCATTCTACGATGAAATAACTAGAAGTATAGATCAGGGTGTTGCGGTGGATGTGATCTACTTGGATTTTGCCAAGGCATTTGATACGGTTCCTCACAATAGGTTAGTCTTCAAACTAAAAGAAATTGGTCTAGATGAATATTCTTGTTCTTGGGTAGAACATTGGCTTAAGGATAGAGTACAATGAGTTGTAATTAATGGTAAATTTTCAGGCTGGACAAAAGTGGTAAGTGGTGTCCCTCAGGGTTCTGTTTTGGGACCACTTCTATTTCACATATTTATAAATGATCTTGAAATAGGCATTGAAAGCCATGTATCAGTGTTTGCAGATGACACAAAACTTTGTAAAGTAGGGGGGCGGAGCCAGCTGCCTAAGCGAACGGATGCGTCCTGCAAGAGCTCCGACTTCACAATAGCCACAAGAGCAAAAAAAACAAGTTTTACCCTGAAAATTTGGACCACAGCCGGGCTACAGCTTGTAACCACGATGGGGCGCAAGTCAAAAAAGTATCGGGCTGATAAACCCCTGACAACCGCCGATATCGGCGATCTCCTTTGGAGGCCTCAGGGCTCCATGAGGCCTGACATGTCGCCTCTCACAGATGGGCCGTCGTGCTCATCCAGCGAAGCTTCCCTCACCGATCTGAGAGACCTGGAGGCACCGGCACACAGTAAAAGACCTGACAAACGGTCTGACCGACGACCTGGGGAACCGGTGACAGAGAACACCCTAAAGTCCCTCCTAGACGAACTACGCCGTAACATCGCCACAGACATCTCCACATTCCGGGATGAAATTAAAGGAGTCTCAGCCCGCCTCCACGATACGGAGGTAACAACTGCAGGCCACGAGACAAGGCTCGCAACACTTGAGCGAGAACTCGCCGCCCTGAAAGGCGAACAAGTTAAGATTCAGCACCGCATGGCCGCAGCAGAGGATAGGAGGCGCTGGAAAAATGTAAAGATCCGCGGCCTACCTGATACAGTTACCACAGCGGAACTGCCTCACCTGATACGGAGGCTCTTAACCCAACTATTCTCAGCCAAACAAGCCAAAACCATGCACCTAGACGGCAGCTACAGACTCCCAGCGCCACCTACAAATGCCACAGGAGGGTATCGGGACGTCATAATCCACTTTAGAAACAGCCTTGACAAACAGGCGTTCATGGCGGCCACTCGTAACAAATCGCCCTTCTCTTTTGAGGAACACCAATTGACTTTCTTTCCGGACCTCTCTAGAGCAACCTTAGAGTGGAGGAGATCCCTGAAACCACTAACGTCGATACTCACAAAATTCCAGGTGCCTTGCAGGTGGGGAACGCCAAGGAGCCTTCTGATCACCCAAGAATCTGGGACAATGAGAGTACTGGGGGCGGACGAAATATCCAGCACGCTGCAGACCCTCGGGCTTCCAACCACTCCGGAGGGATCGCAGACCTCTGCTCCGGTTCCACGGCCGATCGCCTGGGACCCCAATAGGGTCCGCCCGTTTGTTCCTGCTGCTATGCGGGAAGATCCCGCCACAACTGCTGTGCCCTGAACGGCCACGGACTGAAACCAGTGACTTTACTTTATATTTCTTTATGTTGTTGCCTGTTATATGGCTTACATTGCTTTCGCTCTTTTTGCCTCGCTTTGTTTTCTATTTTCTATTTGATGTTTTTCTTTTTGCTGTTTACCTCTCACACTGACACAAATACCATACTCCTAGGAATGCATCCCCTTACCTTCAGATGCACGCTGGCATAGGGAGTACACTCCCGCTATTACCTCCCTCCCCCCCCCGCTCACCTACTTCTGTCTAGCAGCACTAACACATAATTTGAGTGAGTGCCGACCTCTTGCCACTCAACTGACTTGCAAATATATTTTCAAACACCGCAAGAGGATCGAGACCCGCGACACCCCCTAGCTACTGACCATACCCAACCGCGCTTTCCACAGGGATCGCGAGTCCAGCGTCCACTACTCTCTAACTACTTACCAAAATCTTTCATTACATTAAACCCTCATTCACAAACACGCACGAACACCCACACATAGGATTGCGATATCCTTTGAACATTCGCACTAGCGCACTCTCACTCCTGAACACCATAGTGGATTAACCTGCTGATAACGGTATCACAAAATAACAATAAAATTGTGCCGAGATATGCTACAGTATGCCACTCTAATGTTATATAATGTTATGATGCGCAACGCAGATGCTGTTGTGGCACTGCCTGCAATGATGTTTAAAACTGCACTTCTAAAATAAAGAATTAAAAAAAAAAAAACTTTGTAAAGTAATAAAATGTAAGCAGGATATTGCTTTGCTGCAGAGAGATTTGGATAGATTGGGGGACTGGGCACTAAAATGGCAGATGAAATTTAACGTAGAGAAATGCAAAGTTATGCACTTCTGGGTTAAGAATGCACAAGCAACTTACACACTAAATGGTAGTGAATTAGGGATAACCACACATGAGAAGGATTTGGGAATTGTTATAGACAACAAATTAGGCAGCAATATGCAATATCAATCTGCAGTTGCTAAGGCCAGTAAAGTTTTGTCATGTATAAATAGGGGCATAAATTCTCGGGATGAAATTATAATTTTGCCTCTTTATAAATCGCTGGTAAGACCACACCTTGAATATGCTGTGCAATTTTGGGCACCTGTTCTAAAGAAAGATATCATGGCACTAGAAAAAGTCCAGAGACGAGCTACAAAATTGTTAAAAGGAATGGAGCATTTTAGTTATGAAGAAAGGTTAAAAAAATGAAATCTGTTTAGTTTGGAAAAACGGCACTTGAGAGGGGATATGATAACTTTATACAAATATATTCGGGGCCAGTACAAACCTTTTATCTGGAAATCTATTCATAAACAGGACTATACATAGGACACGAGGTCACACATTTAGGCTGGAAGAAAGGAGATTTCATCTAAGGCAAAGAAAAGGTTTGTTTTACAGTAAGAGCAATAAGGATATGGAATTCTCTGCCTGAAGTCTGCCTGAGTCACTACAGATGTTTAAACTGCAATTGAAAAAATACTTACAAAAACATATCATACGGGATATAATTTCTAATTAGTGGGATAATAGCTGCTTGATCCAAGGAGACATCTGACTGCTATTTTGGGATCAAGAAGGAATTTTTTCATAGTTTGTGGCAAAATTGGAAGCGCTTCAGACTAGGTTTTTTGCCTTCTTTTGGATCAACAGCAAAAACATATGTGAGGAAGGCTGAACTTGATGGACGCAAGTCTCTTTTCAGCTATGTAACTATGTAACTATGTTATATATTTTTTTACTGCTACATGCTTTTTCCCCCTATTAGTTGCTCCTTCTCTCTTGATCTGTGGGTCAAATTGCAATAAATTATTTAAATTATGTATATATTCCACGGTACACAAATTGTCCTAATATTTGCACCTTTTGGCTCATCTGAATTGGTTTTCCCAAAATAATTGCATGGACGAAAGACGTCCTATCCAAAACACCACGTGAATGAAATTCAGTCCACACTAACCACATTTAGTTTTTTTATGAAATGATTTGGTAGTACCACATTTTTCTGCCATAAACAAACCTACATAACTACATTAACTTTGAATGGACAAAAATGCAGACTCACAAGTGTAGTAGAATAGCAATTCCCACAAACGTCTATCATAATAAATATCGGGGGATCTTACCTTTTGGCAACAACTAGTTTTACTTTAGACCTATATAAATTAAGGCAATTCAGGTAACAGACTGACACAATAATCTGACAGCTATTTGATATTGGCTATACCTGTGTTAAACTGAAATTCAGCAAAAGTGTATTCGTTCTATAGTGCCTGGATGAAATAATTAGCCATATTTCTGTATTCTAAACTTTGTATCATTTTTTTTTTTTGTTTAAAAAAACAAAACAAAACATTTTTTTGCAGGGTTCTGCATCTTAAATGGACAGTATAGGCACCAAAACAACTTTAGCTCAATAAATCAGTGTTTGTGTATAGATTATGCCCCTGCAGTCTCACTGCTCAATTCTCTTAAATTAAGGAGTTACATCAATTTGTTTATACAGCTTTAGCCACTCCTCCCCACATGTGACTTAAACATCCTTTCTAAACACTTCCTGTTAAGAGAGCTCTAATGTTTAAACTCCCTTTATTGCAGAGTCTGCTTAATTTAGTATTTCTTATCTCCTGCTCTGTTACTAGCCTGCTAGACCTTGCAGAATCCTCCTGTTTGTAATTCAGCTTCATAAGCTGCTCACGTCCTTGTCTGGGCAGTGCTGCCTTACATTTTATGTAAACCCCATGGATTTATTGCTGTTTCAGCAACTACACTGAACAAAATTATAGTGAGTGTTACTGAGCACTTCTCAACAACTTCATCAATTCTATGCGAAAGAGATTTGTTGCACTGCATGAGGCAAATGGTGGTCACACCAGATCCTGACTGGTTTTGGACCCCCCTGGATCACCCCAATACAGTAAAACTGCACATTTTAGAGTGGCCTTTTACTGTGGCCAGCCTAAGGCACACCTGTGCAATAATCATACTGTCTAATCAGCATCTTGATATGCCACACCTGTGAGGAGGATGGATTATCTCGGCAAAGGAGAAGTGCTCACTAACACAGACTGAGACAGATTTGTGAACAATATTTGAGGGAAACAGGCCTTTGGTGTACATAGAAAAAGTCTTAGATCTTTGGGTTCAGCTATGGGGCAAAAACCAAAGTGTTGCGTTTATAATTTTGTTCAGTGTACAAATGTGAGTTTATTGTTTTCTCTTCTAACTTTGTTTTTTTTTTTTGCTTTTTTTTTTTTAATGTATTGAAATTTCAATGCATTAACATGGACAGGTTAAATCCAACATGGGAGATCAAGAGCAGGGGCGTCACTAGGGAGAGGCCAGAGGGGGTTTTGGCCTCTCCTAAATTATGCCATGCTCCCCCTCGTGCCCCCCACCCCCATAAATGCATGGACATACATGGAGGAAGCCCTTTATGGAGCCCTGAGGCATTCGGCGTGCACTCATTAGAGATGGCTGGGGAACTGTGATCTTCCTGCTCTGCTCCCTTGCGCATCGTTTACTGTGGCAAGGAGCAGGAATATAACATCATATTTAAGTTCCCTGCATCAGATGACAGCCCGCGAGGGAGCAGGAGCATTATCGCTCCCTCACCACCCCTGATGTGCTCACAGTCGCTGGCCTCACTGCAGCCCCACTGGACCCCAGGCACAGACCTCCTCCAGCTCCTCACTTCTCCACCTCCTGTGACATCACCGTAAAGAAGCAATGGGGACCCGATACAAATGCCATAGAGTGCTGCACGCACATGCAATGCATTGAAATCAGTGCTTTCCTATGAGCTGCAAACTCCGAGACCATGTTTAACCCTGCAAAGTAGACATATCTATAAAACTGCATTTTTTTACAGGGTTAAAACTACAGAGTCACTGCACTCAGAACAATTTGTAGAACTGAAGTGGTCTGGGTGACTTTAGTGATCCTTTAATGATCATACTTTGACCACCTTGCCAGTAGCCAATAAAATAATTTCTAGTATTTAATGGTTTGGGGTTTTTTTGGTTTTTTTTAATATAAATATATTTCCCTTGTCTATTGGTCCAGAAGATCTCTTTCTGTACAATTTGTTTCAGAGTCCTTTTCCTGAAAGTGACTCTCTAAGTATAGTAACTGATTCCGCTTTTACAGCCTGATGTGGTGGTTATGGTAATAGGAGACTACTCGTGCCTTCCACTGCTTCTGTGTCAAACTGTTTTCCAGCAGTTTGGCACAACCCAAGAGGACTCTATCTGGAACAGAGGCAGTGGCTAGCACCAAAACCTCTGTAACAGGCTGCAGTTGTTATGGTCCTTAGAGTGCCCCTTTAAATGTACTTGGATCTGGATGTCAGTACTTTAAAGGAAACATGATATCCCTCTCTTTCAGATAATATAATATTAACTACCCACACCCTGTTTTGAAAAGCTAGTCACTAAACAAAGCACTTTCAACAGTAAAACACAGCAAGGTTCCTTTGAAGTTGTTTTAGAATAAAATCTTGAAACAGTTCTTTCTTTTTTTTTTTTTAAGTATGAAAATTAGCGTTTGTTTTTCCCAAATAATATTATGTTTTTCAAGATAAAAAAATAAAAAGACAAGAAAAGGTATTTTTCCTTTTTAGATGTATACTTGATAAATAAAATGTGTTAATAATAAAGGCATTTTATACAGTACTCTTTAATCAACTTGGAGCAGCCGCAGTGTGTTATTCAAGCCTAGATTGGGATAAAAATTCTGCCCAGGAGCAGCAGTCCAATACGAGTGACAAGGTCTTAAAGGGGACATGCAAGACCATAGGTCCCGGTGGGGCATTGGCCCCAGCCAGGTAACACTTTGACAGGAGCGGCAGGTGCCTCATCGCAGGACCCTATTTAGCCTTGCACTGCAGAGAACTCGAGATAGAAGGAATTCCCCAAGTAAGTAGCTCATTTAGTAGACAGTTGGTTGTAAGAGTAGGATCTGCCAAAGATGGGGTACATTGACGTCAGGCTTATGCAATGTATGATCATATAATGTAACTTAACCCCCATTATTTTTTGCCTAGATTAGGTGTTTTTAATAAAACTAGCAAAATTTGTCAGCACCAAAGTAGCTGTTTAGTAGATAAGCGAGTGCGCTGAATTGTAATTTTTTCTGTACTTATTGGCCCCCAGCAGCACCCCATTTAAGCATGTTCACATGAGTGCAGCCAGACCCTCGTTTTCTCATATATATATTTAGGAGTCTAGCCAGCTCCTTGGTTTTGCACCCCTCCCTGTCACAGGTGCCTCATCTCAGGACCCTATTTAGCCTTGTACTGCAGAGAACTTGAGATGGAAGGATTTCCCCAAGTGAGTAGCTCATTTAGTAGACAGTTGGTTGTAAGAGTAGGACCTGCCAAAGATGGGGTACATTGACGTTGTGGCAGGCTTATGCAATGTATGTAAACAAAAAAATGCACAAAATGCAATATATATATACCCTTGTGGCTATAAGGGGAAAATAAAGATGATATAAATTACCCCTTAAAGTTAGGTAGTGTGAAGACTCCTCAGTGTCTTCTTAAATGTAGACATATATATATATATAAAAAGATATACACAACCTAAAATACGAAGCAAAGAGAGACCACAATGGTGCGGATAACAATAAACAAAATAGAAAAATAAAAAGAACTAGATGCACTCACAAACACATGGATACAATGGGCGGGGTATATAAGTCTCTTTCAGATGTTTCCTTTCTCTCTTACTCCAAATAGAAGCTTGAAGATAAAACAGAAAAGCAAGACATAGTGTATAGCTGTATGAGTAAAAAGGATAACTTTATTGGTTGCACTTACAAGATAAAAGTAGTAAAATGGCTCATCAAATCGTAGGACGTCTTCCCAGTCAGAATGAAAGCATAATCAGGATAAAAGACGAACGAAAGATCGAGTCAGCAATAAAATAGTAAAATTAAGTAAACCTGCCACCCTACGCGTTTCGTCTGTAAAGACTTCGTCAGGGGCGTTTGGCAAATAACATACAAAAACATCCTATACACTGTTTAAATACGCCGCTAAAATTAACATTACCGGCTCTTAAGCCAATCAGAAATGTGTCCGAAAAAGTCGTGCACTTTAAGAAATCTTGCACTTTATCCAATCCTCTCTTCTCTTCCTGATCGTTGCGTCCCAAGTCTCTTTTCACGCCGTGGCCGGAAATGGTTGCATTTCAGTGCTGGAACGCATATGCGTTCCACTGAGTCCGTGCTACTGGAACCCGGGCGTTCCAAAGCAGTCATAAAGTTCAATCATAAATAGAGAAAAAAAACATGAGGATGGGAAAGATAAACATTAAAATATAACAAAGTTAAAACAGACTATGAGATAAATATGATAAGTGTACATAAATAGGTAACTGAAATCATTAAAAATACATACAGTTATAAAAACCGGATAAGTGCAATCAATAAAGTTATTCTTTTTACTCATACAGCTATACCCTATGTCTTGTTTTTCTGCTTTATCGTCAAGCTTCTATTTGGAGTAAGAGAGAAAAGAAACATCTGAAAGAGACTTATATACCCCGTCCATTGTATCCATGTGTTTGTGTCACCTAGTTCTTTTTATTTTTCTATTTTGTTTATTTTTATCTGCACCATTGTGGTCTCTTTATGCAAAGTATGATCATATAATGTAACTAAACCCCCATTATTTTTTGCCTAGATTAGGTGGTTTTAATAAAACTAGCAAAATTTGTCAGCACCAAAGTAGCTGTTTAGTAGATAAGGGGGTGCACTGGATTTTAATTTTTTCTCTTTTTTTATGTATAAATATATACATAGCAATGACATCTTTATATATATTTGTAATTGCAGCCCACTGCTGCATTGCACACTGACAGGGGACCCAGATATCTTATTTTCTCTCTCTCCTGGCTATGATTCTCCTCCAGCAGCAACAAGTCTTCTCCTCTCACAAGATGCGAGAACGGTGCTATGGGACGTTCCAGCATGCATTGGGTGCTGCGCAGAGTGTTGCCATGGCAACCTGTGGCCATGCTCTTGCAGCTCGTGAGAGGAGAAGACCTGTTGCTGCTGGAGGAGAGAACCATAGCCAGGAGAGAGAGAGAAAATGATCAACTACACAACTTCACTTAGTTATATTTATGTATTAGATGGCTGTTTCCTCGTCCTCCATTATTTGTTAACATTAGAAATGCAATTTATATCTTCCGATAAATAGTGTGGCACCTTAGAGAGAGTTTGGGCTGTCCCCTACCTCAGTACTAGTTCCTTACAGAGAGTCACACCTCTAGTCCATGAGTCTGATAGTATCACATTAATTGGTTTTAATTCAATTAACCTCCTGGAGTGTTTTGTTGGCCAGAAGACTCAGGAGTTTGTAAATGTGAATCATTCAGATATCTATGTACACATCCTTATACATATACACTGATCACTAAACACAACATTAAACCCACTGACAGATTAAGTGAATAACATTAAATATATCATTACCAACGGTACCTGTCAAGGGGTGGGATATATTCAGCAGCAAGTGAACAGTCAGTTCTTGAATTTCATGTGTTGGATGCAGGAGAAGTTGGTAATTAAAAATATCTGAGTGACTTTGACAAGGGCCAAATACTGATGGCTGAACACCTGGAGGCCTCTCCTTGCAACTTTTGCCCTTTTTTTAAATTTTTTTTATTAATACTCGTTTTTTGTATGACTTTATTGTGATATTTTAAGTTACCAAGTAATTGAAGACTCTTGTGTTTCTGGCATAATTATACATAATTCCACCATATTGTTATAATTATTATATTATTTATATAGCACCATCAGATTCCATAGCACTGTACATCTGCCATTCAATAAAATATGTTAACAATTACATAAAGATCCTGGGCAGGATACTCATAGCAGAGTAAGGATTTAATCGACATACTGAATAGCAAATCCTCCATTGAAGTCTTTAGGACTATTGCTTTTCTGTAAGTAGAGTATAAACTGTTACTCTGCTCAGATAGTCCAACCATTGTATCTATAGCAAATATTTAAAATGTGCACAATGAACATATTCAAAACACACACTGCTTATATTTCTATTCTCTCTCATATACAGTTACATGTCCAATATTTGAAAAGGAAAAATGAACACACGTTTTATTCCAATATAACTTTATTTATTAATTATTATAGAAATAATACATCACAATAGGATTAGTGATGTCTCGAACCGTTCGCGAACGGTTCGCCACAGTTTGCCGCGAACCGTTCGTGGCGAACTCCGGTCAGCTGACACATCCCTGCCAATCTCCGGCAGACCCTCCCTCCCAGAGGCAGCTTCAACATGGATGCTGTCCAGGAGGTGGGAGAGTCTGGGAGGGAGGGTCTGCCGGAAATTGGCAGGGATGTGTCAGCTGACCGGAGTTCGCCGCAAACGGTTCGTGGTGAACCGTGGCGAACCGTTCGCGGCAAGTTCGCGAACGGTTCGCGACATCACTAAATAGGATGCGAAAAATAAAAAATAAAAGGTTCAACGGAAGAGTGCAACAATAATCTGTTCCACTGACTTACATAATCACATAAAATTTGCCAGATCCCGCACATCCGTAGAATACTAAAAACAGAAGTGTCAAGGCACCCGTAATTTCATGCACGCGAGACAGACTGGTGCTCTGTGGGTAACATTCTGCACTTTATACATTAAATATTTTTTTTAAATTCCAGTTTTTGGCAAGATAGCAGCAAATGGATTATTAGCAGGAGGTATAGTATTATAGAAGACAGATAATGCTTCGTTCCTGCAAGAGTCACAATGTTCATAATAATGAGCATAACAAGGAGAATGAAAATCCAGTTAGCCAGATTAGGTTCCAAAAAACAGAAATCAAGTCTGATAGCAAGATGAGAAAAGTCCTTTAACAAATCTCCTACGATAACAGGTAATCTTTAGAAATGTCCAGAGAATTGATAGAAGTTAGTCTTTCAGCCAAGTCCGAGTCCTTACTAATCGACATATTAAGAAAAATATGCAATCCTAAAGTTGAGCATGTCAAGATATTGTTGCAATTGTAAAAAGTGCCCCTTCTGATTCTACACCTCATTCTGCCCTATCAGCTACTGGAAGGGCTTCCTGGTGTCACCTGTTCACTTTCCATAAGGACATCTGATCCTAGAACTCCTAGAAGCACGTCCAATGCCTTTTCTTCTAGAGCTTTCATTGAGGGGTCAGCATCAGTGGAGCAGGATTAAAGTACCTGTAATTCTCACAAACAAGGAAGAAATCTTGGAAGTAAAGGAAGCAGCATTGTTACTGTCAGCAGCAGCCTTCCTGCAAAATCTGTACTTTTTACTATCTAAACAAAACCTATGGTGGAAGGAGTTGGGAGGGGATAGGGGGTAGGTCCTCCCTAGCCAACAAATTGCACAATTGCTTCTCGGGTGTGGGGGCATTTGTTCTGGTGCTCCCCCCTTAGATCGTCCACTGGTGACAGGTTGCAGGACTGGCTGCAGGTTCGCACGGTGCGACAGCTAACCCCACCTGAACCACCCGTGCGCTAGCTATCCAGCAGGCAACAGGGAGAGCAAGCAAAAAGCCGCTTAAGCTTAAAAGATGCCAGCCGTGAGGCTGTGCTGGAGACTGCTATAGGTTTACGTAGATGGTAAGAGGAGGTGGGAATGGCTGCTCATGCTGCTAATTGTAGGACAGAGAGAGGCTAGCCTAATATTAGTGTTAGGAAAGTGGTAAGTCCCAATAGCGGTGGGATTGTTGTGCAGAACTACTTCAACAAGACAAAATCATTTGGTGCTTAGGGTGACCCTTTAAAGGATCTTAACATGTATAGCTTGGAGGATAGACAAGACAGGGGGATATGATAGAAACATTTAAATACATAAAGGGAATCAACACAGTAAAGGAGGAAACCATATTTAAAAGAAGAAAAACTACCACAACAAGAGGGCATAGTCTTAAATTAGAGGGGCAAAGGTTCAAAAATAATTTAAGGAAGTATTACTTTACTGAGAAGGTAGTGGATGCATGGGATAGCCTTCCAGCTGAAGTGGTAGAGGTTAACACAGTAAAGGAGTTTAAGCATGCGTGGGATAGGCATAAGGTTATCCTAACTATAAGATAAGGCTTGGGACTAATGAAAGTATTTAGAAAATTGGGCAGACTAGATGGGCCGAATGGTTCTTATCTGCCGTCACATTCTATATTTCTATGTTTCTATCTTATTTTGGACTACACCCAGCCTAGGTTTATGCGATAAAAAATTTTGTCGGCTCCAATCATCGCATATGTTGAGCAGAACTGCTCTGTATACCGATAGTGGCCATACCATGATTCCTATCAGTTTATACACTGTTTAATGAATAAGGCTGTGTGCATAGCTTGGCAGAGGAGAGAGAGCCCAGTTCAAGTTGTGTGTGGTACAGACGTCACAGACAC